GTGTGTGTGTGTGTGTTACAGAACGGTCATCTGGAGTGTGTGAGGTGGATGGTGAGTGAGACAGAGGCCATCGCAGAGCTGAGCTGCACCAGAGAGCATCCCAGTCTGATCCATTACGCTGCACGCTATGGACAGGTAACGCACAAATGCACACACACTTATTCACATAAATACAAACGCACCAACAAGTTAGGATATCCAAAATGACATCATCTAAAAACACTGTAAACAAGGTTGTATTTTTCCATCATGTACTGTCAGTTTTCAGTGATTTTAAAAACATTTCCTCACCTGTGCTTATCCCTACAATTTTATGATTTAGCAACTAAATTATGTTTACGGATAGATTGGAAAAATGCCAGTACAGACTACTAGAAGAAGACAAGCCACAAATAAAGCCAGTGGTGTTGATGGTGTTTATGTCAAGACCTTGATATGTGTCAGAGGGTGTGGTGTGTAGAGGGGGCAGTTTTAGGGGGGGCTCAACTGGTTATCTGTCAGTGATAAAGACATTTATTATATTATTATGTTATGCTTTCATAGGGTCTAATGTGCGGGGAGGGCATGCATATATGTGTATGTCTGTGTTGAGGGAAAACTGGAGTGTGGTTGTTTCACTTGTTTAAATGAAGATAGGTAAAAAAGTCTCCCTCCCTCTCTCTGTCTGTCTGTCTCTCCAGGAGAAGGTCTTGTTGTGGTTGCTTCAGTTCATGCAGGAACAGGCAATCTCTCTGGACGAAGTCGATCAGAACGGAAACACTGCTGTCCACGTAGCAGCTCAGTACGGACACCTCACCTGTATACAGGTACATGACAGGACAGGACATGATTATAAAGCCACATTAATATTACTCTTTCAATATTTCAACAATGTAAATGTCAACATTAAAGCTCAATTACTGTTCTTTTTTTGCTGCTGGTGTGACGGCTCCAACATTTTTCAGGAACATCCTGCTTCAGTTACTCTGCTCCTACTTATCATGACAAAACATTAATGTATGAGGAAATGTGTTTTCCAATCTGAAGCTCATTTTCCTACAGTGGAACCTGTGTTTTTTTTTATTCCTGGTAGGTGGTACACCCTGCTGGAGGAGAGGCGGATGTTATCAGTCTTGTCTGCTTCCTGTTGGCTAGCCAGGCCGACAATCAAAATACTGATTAAGCTAATGATCTGTTGATAAAATGGCAGCTTTTTCTCAGCAGTAGCCGAGTAGTTCTGTACTGTGGGGGAGCATTTTACTACACAGAGGCAGAAGTACTAATAATAGAGCTACTACTGGAAATACATAATGTTTCTGTTTTGAATGCTGACTTAGAAACAAGCATGGACATGTCTGAAATCTTGCCAAGAGCCAGAACTCAGCAGTAATGGTTTAAGTCTCTGTGTCTGTACCCAGACTCTGGTGGAGTACGGCTCTAACGTGACAGTCCAGAACCAGCAGGGGGAGCGGCCTTCCCAGAGTGCCGAGCGGCAGGGACACACCACCTGCGCTCGATACCTGGTGGTCGTGGAAACCTGCATGTCGTTGGCCTCACAGGTCGTAAAACTCACTAAACAGCTCAATGAGTAAGTTACAGTTCTTTTACTGTTACACAGTACAATCAAATAAACAGTTACAATCACTGTTTTGGGATTTTGTAGATTTTTGTAGTTTCTCAGTTGTTGTTAATCTTACAATTCCTTTTTATGTCGCCAGTATTTTTTTATCTGTTTAAAATGTAATAAAATTCAGTTACCTGATTTAATTTAGGTTTAACTTAGTATTGGACTGTGTTAAAATTAGATTTGTATTTACATTTTTTAGCATGACTCCATAATATCGACATATTTTCCCCAAGTATTTAGTTTACACTGCAGCATGATGCCAGGATCACCAAATTACCAGCGACAGAAACAAATGTAGTTCGGCTATTAGTCTATTGAGCGTCTACTTTCCACTTCCAACCAAATAACAGCAGTTTGCTTTTCACTGCCTAATTTAACTAGAACTGCCTGCTAACACCTCTCCTCCACCTGCACACTGTGGTGGGCATGAAGTTGAGCCAAACTAGACAAAGCCAAAGCAAATTTCAAAGTCAGCAGAACTGTTTGCGCTGCTCATACCGGTGCTATGAAAATAGAGCCCATCATTTTTGCCACTTTCTGTTACTCTGAACGGCTGAGTAAGTTCAAACGTATCCAACAGCTCAATGGCTATAGTTAAAGGCTGTTTACACTGAACTTGATTCAGCATTGACAGGTGGGGGTGTGTCATTGGCAAATTTTAGTTAATCCTGTGGTGTGTATATGTGTGTGTGTGTGTGTGTATGTGTGTGTGTGTTGTTTGTCACGCAGACAGGCAGCAGACAGGATAACTCTACAGAAACAACTGCAGAGACTGATGGAGCCCAACAAGGCAGAGGGCACACCTTCCAGATCACCTAGGTAACACACACACATATAGGGCCCTCGTTTTACACACACACACACAAACACACACACACACTTGTTTACACACTGTACAGAAATTTACTGTAGCTGTTTTATACCAAAATAAGTTTCTTCTCATCCATTGTGACAGCTAAAAGATCACAGAGTAGGACAAGCTTCTAAGCTGACAAAGAGAAGTTAAGGTGTAGTAGCCAAGATATGCTGGTCAAGTCAGTGAGCCTGAAAAAAATACCGCCTCTCTGGAGTGTCAGTGCTGGAAAACAGCACCGTCACTGCAGCGACAGTTGTCACTCACCACAAGAACACACCAGTCTTTGCGGAGTGACTATGGTAACCTCCACTGAGAAGAAGTTATACTCAGATTTGAGCAGCGGCAGTGGCAGCAGTAGTGATTGCAAGTGATCGCTGCAATTTACAGCAGTTTTCAGGTGAGGTGAGCGGACCCGAGCAGACCAAGAAGTACAGTGGGACTTTACAAATATTGCTGTTTTACTTTTTATTATTCAATTTAATATTATAATTGTATCTGTAGATGCTGTTTCAGAGCTGAAATGAGTTTAACTTTGTTGTTTATAACAATATAACAAAGTTACCAATGTAGTAGTAGTAGTAGTTGTAATAGAAGTTGTAGCAGTAGGAGGAGTTGTAGTAGTTGCATGAAAAGCAGCAGTGGTAAAATGAATTATGAATTAAGTACTACTATTACTTGCTTTTACTAGTAGTGCTAGTATGTAGTAAAAGTAGCAGCAGTGAGGATGTTGGTCCTAGTTGCAATAGTCGCAGTAATGATTAATGGCATTAATAACACACACACTAAAAAATGTGACTTTAAAGGATACCTTCTGTGTCTCTTTCTGGACTCCAGCTCCCATCAGCCCTCAGTCGAGGCTTGGCCAGAGATGATGTTGACAGCGGAGGGGACTCCAGGTGATGGTCAGTGGTTGGTTCGTCAGGGAGGTGTTGGTCCAGACTCGGTGCTGCGACAGCTGCTGGGGAAGGACATGTCGGACACGCTGGTCCCCAGGGAAAGGCTGCCTCCAGCAGGTGGCCTGGGCAGAGAGGGCCCTTGTGGCCCCGGGGCTCCTGGGGCACGCAGACCGGGGCTAGTGGAGAGGAGAGAGCTCAAACTAGCGAGACTCAAACAGATCATGCAGCGCTCTCTGAGTGAATCAGATTCGGATGGTTATCCACCAGAGGAAGGTAAAAATCAAGGAGCCTCGGCCTCAAACACACTGCGACCTGATAGGCCATCCCACCTGCCAATCACAGAGGAGGAGCCAGTGTCAAACCACCTCAACCTGATGATGAGGAAGCACCTCCCCTCCTCCTCCTCTTCCACAGCTGAGAAGAAGCTGGCGTTTTCTCTCAGTGGGTCAAAGTCGGTAGACAGCGTCGGTTACAACCCCTCCCCCACCTCCAGCGACCCTGAGGCTGCAGATGGTAAAACACCAGAGACTCCCGGCGACTTCCATGATGGCGCCAATGGCCAGAAAGTTGCCACTAGCCCCAAGAGCGCCCTGAAGTCGCCTTCGTCTCGCAGGAAGACGTCTCAAAACCTCAAACTGAGGGTTACCTTTGATGAGCAGGTCCACAAGAGCTCCAATCAGGAGGCAGAGCAGACCAAAGGGCATCATGGGAAGGAGAGGACTCCAACAGGAAGCTCTGAAAGCAAGCGGCCGTTCGGGGCATTCCGCTCCATCATGGAGACACTGAGCGGAAACACAAACCACAACAACAACAACAGTGGTGGTCAGTCAGGCCCCGCTGCTAAACTGTCCACCTGTCAGAACTCACCTGGCAGGAAGTCAGAGAGTAAAGGCAGCCCAGGAGGAGGAGCCAGGGGCAAAAGCAAAACCAGTAACGTTTAACCAACTAGTGCCTACTGTAGGGCAGAGAGCACATAACGAACAGACCACTACAAAGAGCAAACGGCAAGGGGCAGCGAAGATGAGAAATTTATTGTGACTTACCAGGTTGACACATTTTGTGTCAAAGGTTGTACTCCTCATTTCTGATAACTGCACATGCATACACGTCATGTGAAATACAGCTGGAATCAGCGAAACTTACTCTTTAGTGGTAGCAGTGTTAGCTGTGATGTCCACAGAGGATAAACATCCATAAATACACTTAGAAATCATATACAAATACCTAAAATGTAAGCAAATATAGGCTAAAAACAGTGTTCATGTGTATCCCACAGCAAAGTCACTGGCATGGCAACATTATACTTCCCGTTTACTTCACCCAAAGTATCATGGGAACTTTAGTGCCAAAACGTATTAGTCCCAAATGGAAAAAAAAGAATGAACCATCCATTACATTATCCATCCATTATCCAGATTTTTGTTGTTTTACACTTTCATTACATAGTTTGACTGAACTGAGGCTCAGAATGTTTTATATCCCAGGAACAATGATCCTCTCCGAACATGAAAGCAAAAAACTCAAATCATTTCAAATTATCTAAGAGTTTTTTCATAAATACTCTCCTACGGCAAACCAAACCAACCTTGCCATGGGTTTGAAGGATTTTCAAATCACAAACTTTAACAATTCAGTTAGATGTTTAATATGAAATTATAACTTTATGTGACCAAATCAAGAGTGTGATTTGGTCATTTGAAGAAGATAAGACTAAAGTTAGCCACAGCCACAGTTTATTTGGTTCAACCCACAGTGGTGGAAAAGCTGACTTTGCTTAATTTATGTATTTGGTTTGGAAACAGTCACATCAGCTGTTTACAAGCGGACCAGGTCTTGTAAACAAACAGTTTGTTTTTTGGGCAGAGTGTTTATGACCTGTCACCCTGCCAGTTTGTCCCCTTTAGTACAGGAGACTTAATTTGTTTGTTCAGTGAGTAAAATAGCAAAAGTGGCTTTCAGACTGCACTCAGAGACAATATAAAGTAAGAAACGTTTATCTGACTTTCTGTCCTCCTTTACCCATAATCCCTAGTTCACATTACTACCACAAACATACTTGGCTATATACTAAAAGAAGGTCCCAGTCAAAGTCTATTGTATTAAAACATAATCTTTACTCAGGGTCCTCTTACTGGCTGTTTGTGGATGTATGTCAGCTTCACAACAAACTACTAAATTGACTGTTTGTAGATTCTTTTGTCAAACTACTTTTTCCAAGGTCAAGTATGAACTTTCACACTTGAGAAATATATCATTGTTAATCCAGTGAGCAGTTTAATTTCAATAATAACCAACAGTATATTATCACACTTCTGTTCTTCTGTAGGTTTTATACCAGCAAACTTAAAGTTTCTCATGTTCTTTGCCTCAAGCATTTGACTTTTGATGGTTTTTATACAGTTTAAGGACTGAAAGACAAAAGCAGAAACTGTCTCTGCTCTGTTACTGTCTGTTAAAATGTATTTGGTGCCGTCATTCAGCGACAGGAATCACTACAAAATGAATGAGAAGAACCTGTGTGCTTAATGAAACTGAAGCAATTGTTTTTATTGACAGACTGAAGGAAGTCTGTGTATTAATCGCCGTCCTTTAGAGACCTCACATCTCCATAATACAACTTGTAATACATTTTTAGTTTTGTCACATTTAGTTTGATTTTGTATCGGATTACAGAACATTCCCAGAGTTTATTTGTCTACTAAAACAAGACAAAAGTGTCAAAACTTAAATTTTCTAAATGGAGATGAAAGGTTTCTGTTCCTCTGGCACTCTGTTACTGTACTCTGAACTACACTAAAGATGAATATTAGTATTTATGTTTATGCACACGGTTATATGATTTGAAATTTTTAAACTGTGGTTATAATCACGCACGTGGTTAACGTGCACCAGCACAACAAATAGTTTTAAAACCACTGTATATATAGTAGTATTTAATTTTTTTTCCATCATACTCCACACATTTTTTTTATTTCCATGGTTATTATCTATGCAGTATTTTTGGCATGAAGTAGAGTTTAGTTGTGTGATGTGTTTGAGACGGGGAGGTTTAAGGACGCACCTTCTGACAAAGGCTGGCAAACAGGCCAATCATATGAACTTTTTAGACAAAGTAAAAGAAGTTGAAACTTGTCATTCCAGAGATTTACAGCTTTCAGGAGATTGTGAACATTGACAAACTGTCTCAAAGCTTGAAACTAGAAGACTCAGGCTGTTATCTGATGCGCTTATCCAGTGTTTAAATTTCAATGTAGCAATATGTGGTAGTTGGAATGGGTATATCCATTGAAATATAGCAAAAACAACAACAAAAATATATATAGCAGAACATTTTATTTTATCTGTTGGCTTAAAGCTAATTTTATGCATTTAAGTCAAGTTCAATTTGACAGAATCATAGATGTCTACTAAGGAGGGGAGAGGCACTTTGTTAGGCTGTTTCAACTTCTTATTCAAAAAATATGAATTTCAAATGCACAAGCAAGTGAGAGTGGTGGGAGTTTGAATTTATTTGATCAGCCGATTAGTCCTTGCTCCCCTGTCATTAAAAAACAGCTGTCATTTGTATTTTTCTGGACCTTTTGATGGCGACACTAAAACCTCACTAGCAGCCCCAAGAGGCTGCAGTGTTCATTACACTTTTTTACACACCATTTGCCAGGATTGGACAGATGGACAAACAGTTATAATGTAGCTTTTGGTTTCTTTTACAGTATTGGGGATAAAAAAAAGTAATGTTTATTAATGAGGGTGGTGCTGTAGGAAAGGTCATCAAAATCACTACTACTACAGGAATATCGTCACCTAATTTCATGGAAATCTGTCCAGGCGTTCTCAGTATATCTCTTTGGTCCAAAGGTGGAACGACTGTCATGCTTCAAGGAAAACTCTCAGTCTTTTGGGAAATGTGCTGTCTTAAACAGATACAATTCATATTCATTCATTCATTTATTCATTCATACCATCTGTTTCATGTCTATGGACAGTTCGAAGACTGAAGGCAAAATTACAAAATGCCCCTTTAAGCCTCACCACTAACGAAGCAAAAATCCAAAAACACTTCTAACAGAAACACAGATTACAGCCTCGACTCTCTAATTTGTAGCTTTGGGAGAAACTGGATCACATCTGTCATGTTCTTGATGCATGTTTACATTATTACAAATACTGTGCAGCAGCATATTTCTAATCCAAACTGATCATTGTTGGACATCAGTGTGTAGAGTTTTCTTTTCTCATTCCTGTATGTTGATCAGTGTGATTCTGCTGTGCAGTTCACTCATCCCGTTTACAAAGACCTTTTCTAGAGTGTACCATTTTTAGATTTACACACTCTTTGGCTATTTTTTTTTTTTTTGAGGCAGTGGAGTCTGTGAGGTTTTTCCTGCATCCAGTCTGCTGATTATGACTTAAAAGACTTTAAAAGAACAATTCAACATTTGAGTGTATGCCCTAGAGTCAGATGAGCATGTATTTTGCAGTTTAATCTCTTTGCATCCAGTATACTTGCACCCACAGATGTTGTTGATAAGGTCTGGCTCACAGTCGGTGTTCCAGTTCATGTCAAAGGTGCTGGCTGGGGTTGAGGAAAACCATTTCTTTTTGGAGCAGCTTTATACGCTGGGGCTGTCATGTTGAAACAGAGACAAAGTTGAACAGTTTTCTAAAATATCATTGCGTGCTGCAGCGTTAAGAATTCCCTTCATTGGGACTGAAGCTGGGCATACATGGCCTGGACTTTTGGAATCAGCCTTTTTTGTCATTTAGTATGTGGGTCACCATGTCTGATTAATTGACTGAATGATTAACTAACTGGCTGGTGGACGATCACATGGATTTCTGGATGAAATATTGGTTGGCTGTTTGTAGTTTAAGCAATATTCCCCCCATGTGTGCTGTCAAAAGAAAAGATATGTTATGAACTGTAATGAGCTTATTTTGATAATATTCAGTCCCTCCAGGAAGTTGCGATCAATTAACGCAAATTCAAGAAATCACTGAATTCTTTGCCACCTTGCAATTTTGTCCGATCAGTGCAACTTTACCGCTAGTTTGACCAGTCATTGTTGTTTCCAGCTACTTTCACCAATCATATCAGTCCCCAGCACAAAACGTTGAGCCATACGTGACCAAACTATTATAGATTTTGTTCTCACTGGAACAAGTTGCCATCGATTTTTGATAAATTATACAAAAGAAATGCAACTATTTTACCGAGGTGTACCAAATACGTTTGGCCATATAGTATATCTCTGAACTGGGTGCACAGAGATGAAACTGATAGTAGTAGTGTATTTCCCAAAACTTGAATGTTTTACCAGCAGTTGACTGGTGTTCCCTGGTTGAACTGTTCTTTTAACTTCTGATACTTTTTAAATTGAGTGGGAAGAAAACATGAGGCCATTGTTGTTTCGTCTTTCATTTTAGCTTTGGCCTCGATGTAACAGACAAGGCTAAATTTGACAACCCTGTCATTTTTTTCATACCTTCCTTGGAAGTTTCTTGGAAAATAATTATGACATTTGTTCCTGATTATAGGGGAAATATAGACCGTGCTCAGTTGGTAGCCTTCCAGTTAATTCCAATGAATTGTTGGTGTAACCTGATTTCAGCGCACGGCAGGTCAGCTGAACATACAGAAATGTCAAATTTGTCATCAAGCAAGCAAATAATTTAACATGTATACAATAATACATTAATATGAATAAATATTTGCTTGGTTTTAAATAGAGCTTTTATTTTAAGGAAATGTCTCTGGAAATCCTCAACTAAACTCAACATAACTAACCATGATATTGTGGCTGGGGTTCCCAGGAAAATGTCAGGAAAGTCCCCACTGCCTCAAAATATGCTGACAATACAATCAGTGTTCTGTCTGTGGGTTGATTGTGTCGATGAGATTGTTTTTGAAATGCAGTTTATTCTATTTGTAGTGTTTTCGTCAAAACCGCTCCTTCAAGAAGAGGGAAAGGAAGTTGGCGTCATTAATGTGGCATCGTTCTACAGAGGAGACAAACTGAACTCTACCTGTTTGACCCGTGTGTTGTTGTAACTCTTCAGATGGACAGTGTTACTGCATCGACTCGGATGTTTACTCTCAATGCTAAAAAACGTAATAAAAAGAGGCGCAATAACAGTGAATGTTGGAGAAGTCTGATCTGAATTTGTTTTTTTTTTTTACAAACCAGCTTGTACAGGGACAGACAGCGCTCTTCTGTCCTTCTGTTATTGAAGCTGTTGTGAAGACAAACTGAAATAAACTGTTACCTTGAGTGAATAAATGTTATTCCGTTTTTTTTTTAAACTGTAGATGTTGAATAAGAGCTTTATTATCAGGACAATATTTCCTAAATATCAGCAACCTGTTTACCTAGAATCACTATTCTTTAAATAACTCATCATTGTTATTTTTAATGCATTTTTCCTTCTTCTAGGTTTCCATTTTAAGCCCTTAGCATAACTCTGTTTATGAGGTCACTAGCTCCACCAACGTCTATCTGCACACATGGATTGTGTCTGGCTTTTGCAGCCTTTCTGTAATAGTAATTTACTGTGGATTACATCTGAGCTGACAGTAATGTTTTCATTCACCAGGGAAGCAAGCTGCAAAAGCTAAAAGCTACTCAGTGATGCTTTTCCATCCACCTGTTTCTATGCACATTTTCAATTTGTGCATAAAAAACTTGAAAGCCCAACTCAAAATATTACAAATTATTTGTTTACATATTCAACAAGTTCCCTAGTTGAATTGGATACTGAACCTTAAAGTCAGAATTTGTCTGTTTTCGCCATGACAAGTAAAACTTAGCTCATTAAAATGAGTCCGATGCCATATTGTAGCCAACTGAGCAGCATCAGACAAGACAAATAGATGAGAAAGTTAAACCTAAATGTGCTGCAACATGAACAGATATGATGTCAGTATCGGTTCACATTATCTGCAGATTGAGTTCAATCCTAAACTACAACTGAACGATCAACCAAAAAAATCAGATAAGAGATACTTGATTGATTACAAAGTTCAAAGTTTTGCAAACTTCAAGGTCTTGCTGTAAAGACTGAAGCTGTCTTTACCTTCACTGAGACCTCCTCCAACACTGTCAGAAGCCCTCTGCAGGTCCCTGGACCCCACTTTTGACCACCGCTGATCGAGATGGATGCCGTGTGTGAATTGTGCTTTCTGGTAATTTAATGGACAATACATAATGGAGTGTATATTTATTTCTGTGCGTCTCAGTGGCATCAAAAACAGTCACTTAACGGGGCAGGATTTATGGTGTTTGGGAAGCAAATTGGCCTTTGATGGTTCCCACGTAGGGTTGGTTGCTTCCCCACGGAGCCTAATGGGGTTTGCTCTAATAGCGTCCCTCAATCATAGCCGCGAATATGAAACATGAGCTCGCTGGCTCACAATTAGCAAAACAGCACAGAAAGATACGAGGACGAAAAATGTGAAGAAGGCAGGATTTATCAGGATTTTCAAAACGCTCCTCGCCAGTCCATGTAACAAAAAACAAGAGCTATTTGTTTTCTTTTTTCCCACCCTCTCTCTCCCACTTCCCTCCTTTTCTTCCATGGGGGTGGAGGGGGGGGTGAAGTTAAACTGATAAATTAGACCTCATTTATTGGACAACAGTTTGAGTCGATACCCAGGGGCCTCTGCTCTGCAGCGTGGACGAGGCTCCATAGCCGCTAATTGGTTCGCTCTGTGTGGATAGAGGGGGCGTTTTGGTGTGTGTGTGGGGGGGGTGTTTAAGGGGGCTGGTGAGGCAGGCGGGGCAGCAGATGGGACGAGCGGTGCGTTTGCCCGGCTCTGATGCTCACACACACACACAGAAGAGGTTGTCTTGCGGCGGACGTCCGCGGCACACGCCACGAAAACGGACGAGACATGTGCTTGATTTGACAGCCGGGGCGGAGGGGTGGAGGGAGGGTGGAGGAGTCATGTATAGATTTTTGTGTCTGTTGTTTTGGCTTATTTGTGTGCTTCTTTTACTCAGTCAATCAAATTTAATTGACACCGCTGGGCTGGGGCTGGGGGCCCCACGGCATGCTGGGATGACAGGCCTTTAATGCCAAAGAGAGGAGAGGAGGTTCTTCTGCCTGTGAAGGATGGAGGGGGGCTGAAGTGGTGAGGGAGAGGAGGAGGGGGTTGAGGGTGACAATTCCTCAGCCCGTCAACAGCATTAATTGATGTAACAACAGCAATGATGGATACTAATAAATACAACCTTTAAGAAAAAGTAATTAGATGGCGTCCTGGTCAAACCGCCGCTACTGATTCTAGACTGGCTGATAAACACCATTCGTCTTCCAAGGAGGCCCTCAGACGGACACGAGGCATCATTTACATGCAGATCAAACTCAGCATTTGCATTTTGGCCTCAACAAGAAGACAACAGTGCACTCACGTCTTGAGAAACAAGTCTTTTAGTTTGTTTTCTTACAAAGAGCCAAACTCGCCCTTCGATGTTCTTCATCATGACCCAAAACTTCATACAGCTGATCTTCTCTGTGTCCTTCATTCATCAACTGTCTTCTCTCGTCAACAGATGTCAACCCGTTGGCATCGCAGAATGTGGATTTTATAGACAGCATCCAGTCAGGTTACAGATTAAAGAGGGCCAAGAAGAAGTAAACAAGATTTAACAAGCTAAATCTGGGTGGTGAAGGGAAAGAACAGCACTTGAGCTAGAGATCTACACAGGCCTATAATTAAGATTGGATCCCATTCTGTACCCACGTCTTTAATACTTGACCTGACTGACCCCAACTGGTACTGCCAAAATGTGAAATCAGGAGCAATATTTTAGCTTCATGTCATCCATTACTGAATGATAATTTGCCAGGCTGAGGCCTGAAGAGCCACATAAACATTACTGTATCGAGTGTGAACCTATGGTGACATCGCCCATTGGTTTGTGGAGAACCGTTTTGAAGCCTCAAGTTTGGTGTTTTGGTTGTCACCATGACAGTTAGACGGACGTGATGTACTGCAAGTTGATCTGTGCTCATTGGCTGCGCAGTTTTGACTCATCCATAGCTTTGAAGAAGACGTGAAACTAGCAACTGAGACCATAAACTAATTAGGGAACTGTTTACTGAGCTTATTGAAGAAGTGAGAAGTCAGCTCATTCTCTATTTAAGTGAACGGTATCGGTATGTTATTGGAGCCAATGGAGATCCCACTGCTCCCTTTACATAGAATGCAGGTTTTAAGACACTTCTGCGTTGAAAGTCGTGGAAGCTCTGCCCATTAATATACTGTCAATGCTTTGCATGTCCATGCAGATAAGGGTGTTATGAGTAATATTAGGTTCCAGAGCCTCACAGAGGAGCTGACTTGCATTACTATGAAATCTCAACAATATGTGGTATGAAGCTTGTTGAACGTCAAAAAGCTGACTGACAAGACAACTCCTGTAGGGAGATGCTGTTTGAAATAAAAAAGGATTTAGATGTTATTCATAAATGTATTAAAGAAAAGCTAAAATTTAAGAATGACCGTTTGCCTACGTGAGGCCCCTGAAGCTTTTAACAAAACCCAGTTCAACCTAGACTTCATCAACAGCACTGAAGTTGTGTCACCATGTGAGAGTGAACAAGACGTTCCTGAAAAACACAGTTAAAGGATGATTCCTGTTAATTACAATTTAAAATAGTGTTTGTCAGGAATAATAACATTATACTCACCAGGTTAATAGCTGGAATCTGAGTACTATTTGTTCTTTAAGTATATAAGATCAGAGTGCTTCTTCCACCACTGATCTTGGGTGACATCCGTAAACTGCTTGTGTTTCTCGACCGATTGTGACGTCTCTGTGTTACCAGATCTCTGATACTAACTTGGTTACAATAGTATTATCACGGATAGAAATAATGATGAAAACTGCAAAAAATAAGACCCAAATAATAAACCTGAATTATCTCAACTCAGTTTTCTGGTTGTGATTGCCTATTCACATCGTCAGCATACAACATTAACAAAAAACTGAAGCTCAGCCGCATACACACACACACACACACACAGGTAGTGGGGTCAGTATGTTTCCAGGTTCTCCATCTGCTTTAGCTTTTAAAATCAGAAACTCTCTTGATGAAAGTTGCTTAAGCACAAACAATCAGTTGTTATCAGTAATTACAGGTATATTCACATATATTGAAAATTTTTCCTGTTCGTGATCTGATGCAGTTTTCCTGCTTACTTATACAAACATTTAACATGCTCAGAAATATGAATGAAACTTAGATTTAGTTGTTGTCTGGTGTTTGTGTATTAAAGTACCTGGTTTGAGTTTAAGTGGGGGTGGGGCTACCCTTTTGTTTATATTTGAATCACAGATTCTATTTAAAAATCATTTCAATTAGTATCTGTGATGATGAATCAAATTTACAGGTTTTACTGTATTTTTTATTAAATCCATTGTTTCTTCCAATTGTAATGTGTCCAGCCTGTTAGTGAAGTTCAGAGTGTATATTATGAACACACTATTCATAATTCAGCAGTAGTATTGGCAGGTGAACAGATAACATCAATACATAAAAAATATCATAAAAAAGCTGAAAATGTCCATCCATTGTAGTTAGATTAAACTGACGCTTAAAACTGATGAAGCTCTGTTTACTTAAAAAAAGTAAAAACAGTTATCATCACCATGACAGTCGGAGGAAGAAGAATTCCACTATTTTTGATCAGTATTTCATCCTCTCTATACTGCATTTATACACTATACACTTGTACCATTCTTTATTTTACCTCCATGTTGCTGAATTTCAAAAGCACATATTCCATAACAATTGAATCCATTTATCATGAAGCTTCCCTCTATTACAATCTACAAACATAATAAACTTATTTGTTTATTGGGACCATGAAAAATACTTTTATATTTAGAAAGAAAGCGCTATTTGGAGATCAAAACGATGATGGTGGAAGAGAGCAGCTCCCTCTCACCTCTTCAGAATGTTAATAAATGTTTCTGCACACAGCGGGGCACAGACCAATACTTCACACAACTATTCTCCAGTACACCACTCTACTTTATTCACTGAGCGCCTTGCCTTCATCAGGGTGGAGCCTGAGGCTGTTTCCAGTTTCCTTTATACAACACATTGATCTGTGATTGATATATCACCACAGATACTATTTATACAAAACTTGACAGTCATCTTTTTCTTCTCCTTGTCTTTAGTTTATACAAAAACCTTTAAAAAAATGAATGAGGGCAAGATAGCAACATACATTTGGTGAATGAAGAGTTTTGTGATTTTTTCTCACAATTTATTTCTTTCTCACTTTTCATTCATTTATATTTTAATAAAGTTCTCCAAATGCTGTATTATCAGTTGGGTTGAATTTATTTCACCCTCTTTGCTTTATTTTTTACTTCAATTCTAATTTCTTTACTATATTCATATTTATTTTTGCCAATGAATCACAGGAATATTTCACTTTTCTTTAATAATGACATAATTTTTAATACCCAGTTTACAAAGTGCTTCACACAAGGCAGCAAAAATCAATTATCAAATCAAATCTAATGGTGGCCATTAACTGGACCAGAACAAAGTAGGTTTAAACCAATGCCAGTAATATAAGACGAGACAATTCAAGTAAAATCAAGTTTTAAAATAAATAAATACAAAATTTTAAATATGGTACTGACTCAGCTTCATTGTACCTTTTCTGTTGCATAATCAGGATGTATTCATTATCATTTTAGATGAGTTACATCAAATGGACTAAGTGAGTAGGGTTAGAGTCTCTGCTGCTGTCTGCTGCTCTGTAGTTCCCCTGCAGGGGCAGCGGGGGGCAGCATTGCAGTTTTTAACCTGCTGCTGCAGAAACAAATGGACCTCCAGCTGCAGCAGTTTTGCTCTTTAACAGCCGTTTGGCATTTAGCTCCTCTGTCACGCAGTCGATTTTGTTGATTCTGAGCATGAAAACAGCAGCGGTACCTTGTTAAAGTGTTTGTTTGGCCTTCAAACTGTTTGTCCCTGGAGGACAAACACACTGAGAGCACATATCATGAATAACCTGCAGTAAACTGGTGTCTTATTTTAATTTGCCTCTGTAATTGACAGTGGGCTCAGTTTCCTTCTGAGTGCAGAAACAGTTTGTAACCCCCAGGACAAGGCCGATTGTTGATGATATCCTGTAAAATGTCCGAAACACACGAGCGTTAAAACTCAAAGAGATGATTGATTCCCCCCCCCAATTTCTTAAAAGTTGTTGTATGTGTGGAGGCGGGAGGTTTTCAGCAGAGATGTTCTTTAATAAACTGCTGCTTTCCTCTCCTCATACAGACCTGAAAGAACAACAGTGAACATCTCGTTTACATTACTGTTTTTACATCAGGGGTACCCGGCCGAACCGAGACACAGTCACAGTTTGAGCCTGTCAACCAGTGACTTTGAGTATTTCTTTTTTCTGGGGACAGATTTCGAAATGTCACAGCATAACTGTCATAACAATAACTACCAGGTATAATTTCAATTATTTTAAAAGTGTGCACTGTACATCTACCCTCAGTTGGATGGATGCTCTGATTTAAACTGATATTGGTATTCTGATATCATTTAAAGTTAAAGCTTGACTAGTTATAAACAAAATTAAAACACTAGAATAATCTGAGTTTAATTTTCAAGATGAGTGTTGGATGTTGTAGGTGCAGGAGTTGATGCCTTATTCATACAATAGGGTGTGAATTTGGTGTTTTGTTAAGATATATATAACTGAATGCTATCAGTTACTTGTAACTTGCCTTTTGCACTTTGAGTGCTGGATAAAGCTGAATTAATGATTTACCTGTGGTGAGGGGACCTTTAGGGCAGAAAAACCAGGTCACAAAAACCTTTTTACTGAGGGTCTTGACATGAAAGGATGTTGTTTATTGTTGATGTTTGAGGTCACTAAACCTTTTTTGTTTTGTGAAAAGTACTGCTCCAATAATATTTTTTATAGATTTTTTAAATAGAATCAGTTTGTTTCAAGAATTTTCTGAAACTGGAAATGACAAATGTTTGTCAAAGAAAAAAAAAGAATACTGCAGGTTTAAATAATGTTACTGCACTTAAAAAACTTTTATTATTAATTATTCAAATTCACTTGATAATAATAAATTTTGTGCAGTGAAATGGACGGCATATAAGTGTTTTTACGACAGACTTTCCCTTTAACTAGACACCATGCATCACAGCATGGACCCTCGTGTCATAAAAGTTTGGGAGCAGAGAGGCTTTTGTCGGTCAGTTATTGTTTTGTGAGAAGACGACAGCAGAGACACAAACCTCTGATCGCTCATTCTCACTCAGTCCGTTATCTCCTTCTGAATGAAATAATAGTCAAATAAAACTCTCTCATTTCGCTGAGGGGTCCCCCGGGAGCCTCTTAGGGGCCCCTGAGGGTCCCCAGACCCCACTTTGGGAGCGGTCGGTCGGGCCCACGTTTACAGGCTGCGGTAATGATGCTTGTTTGTCCAGCGGTCTGTAAATCACACCGACATTAGAGCTGTCACAGGATCCACTGGAGACACAGCAGACCATCACTAATACCCCGAACCCTGGAGACGCTCCCTGCCGGATCTATAACACCAGCCAAAAAACAAACAAACAAAAAAAAACACTACAGTCAGCCTGCAGAGGAGATAAAAGTAGTTTTAAACCAATACAGACCATCTTTAACAGGAACCTCTGGAGGTACAACTGCAAAGTGCAGCTACACATCAGAGCATTTAGGATGTACACTTTAAACTGTAAAAAAAAGAGCTTTTAAACAGAGAGGAAGGAGGACTTTATGTCATAGCAACATCAGCATACACTCAGAACTATTAGATATGATTTCAACATCTGTATCATGCTTTTCTGTTTAAAGTAGAACTGGAGCAGCGACCCTAGCTAGTCCAAAGTTCAAAAACACATACCAACACCTCTAAAGCCACGGTCACACAAAAGTGTCTCAGCAAAGTTCTACCACATGTCAAATAGGTGGAGCTAGAGGCTTCTTTGGGACGTAGTGATTACTCACAACGCTAGTGGGTGAACTACTAACACCATGTTAA